CCTCCTCCTCCTCCTCCTCCTTCTTCTTCTTCTTTTTTGTCTTTTTGAAACAGAGTCTTGCTATGCAGTTCAGCTGGCCTTAAGTTCACTTTATAACCCAGGCTTGTCTTGAATGATCCTCCTGCCTCAGCTTCCCAAATGCTGGGATTATAGGCATTTGCCACCATGCCCAGCTTAAATTGTTTTTTCTTCCCTACTCTTTCAAATTTTTTTAGTTAAAAAAATTTCTTTGCAGTTTTAAATTTTTGATAGCAGTTCTCTCTCCTCCCTCCCTCCTTCCCTTTCTTCCTTCCTTCTTCCTTCCTTCCTTCCCTCCTCCCTTCTTCCTTGCCTGTCTCCCTCCTGGTGCTGGGTATCAAACACAGAGCCTAGAACATGCTTGCCAAGAGTTTCACCACTAAACTGTTTCTTTAATTCTAAGATAACAGCCCCTGTCACATTCAACATTTTGATATCTTTGAAACTGAGATGTCTTACAGTTAGTGTGGATGTCATGTTTTAATTGACAGTTTATTTTTTGCAAGTGCTGTATAAAGCAATAGTAGATCTTCTAAGCAGTAACATCTTAGATTTGATAAGACATAGTAAGTATTCTGCTTTTCTTTTTAAAATCCTGATAGCACTTGCTGGGTCTTTCCATCTGAATATTAATGTTTGGGGTTTATGTCCCCTTGGTTGTTGGAAATTTTTAAAAATTTCTATGATTATCTCACTTCTGTTTTGCTTTCATAATATGCCTATTGGAATGGTATTAGAACTTTTGCATCTATCCTTTGTGTTTTAACTTTTCTTATAACTTTTGTATGCCATTTTTCACTGTGGACAAGATTTTCTTTATCATCTAGATTATTATTTAAGTCATGACCTGTGTCAGCTTCATTATGTAGCCTGCCTTTTGTCTTTTTAAAAATATTTTTGTTACTTCCAAGAAGTTATTCATTTGCTCAGATTATTCCTTTTTCATTGCTGTCTTTTGTTGCTTAGTGGCTAAACTATTCTCTTAAATTTCTACTAAAGTGCATTTTTAGAAGTCTTTTAAATTTTTGTTTGGCGGCTGGTGATTTAGCTCAGTGGCACAGCGCCTGCCTGGCAAGTGCAAGGTCATGAGTTCGATTCCCGGTACCGGAGAAAAACCAAAAAAATACCAATTTTTTTTTTGTCTGTTTCCTTAATTGTACTCTGCAGAGCCAAGTGCTTTGTTTATTCTCTTCATTTTCCATTTACTAATTATCTACTGAACATCTTCTATGTGATAATGGTTATTCTAAGCATTAAAGAGACCATTAGAAAGCAAGCAGCCCTGAAAAGGAGAGGAAAGAGTTGAAGGAATTTATAAAAGAGGGAGAATTACAGGGGTGATTTTGAGTAAGGATGGAGCTACTTGGAATTTCTCACTTGGGCACAAAGATGGAGAATTATACCATTCATTCAGATAAGAAGAATAATGGGAATAGGGAAAATTTTGCCTAATATTTTTTAAGGAGAAAAAATTTGATAAATTAACATTCAAACACTTCAAAGCTGGGCATAATGGAGCACATCTGAAATCCTAGCACTATGGGAGGCTGAGGCCAGAGGTTTGCAAGTCTAAGCCCAGCCCAGGCAATTTAGCAATTAAGTAAGACCCTATCTCAAAAAAAAAAAAAAAAAAAAATTGAAAGGGATTGGGATATGGCTCAGTGAGAAGGCCCTAGGTTCAACCCCCAGTATCACACATGCATGCACCTACGCATGCACACAACCAAACACTTTGAGTTTGAGGCATGGCCTCTTCATTGACAAGTGGGATAAGAACATGGAAATTTTATTGATCCTAGAACTATAATTCAGGAGTCATCAGTATATTAGGTAAAAATAAAGATTTGGATAAGGTCATTCATGAAATTTATACACAGATAAAAGCACAAGGTCAGGAATGGAAACATGCTCCCAGCCATGGTACATCTATAATTTGATTTTTCCCTGGCTGATCAGAGGATTCTTAGGATGACTTAATCCTGAACCCAGATTGTTACCATTGCTCTTACTTTTGTTTTCTAATTCAAACTCCTACTCTATCAATGCCCCCAACCTCAGAAAGCCCTTTAGTTGTCCCAGACTACCCAAATACCGATTCCCTTAGACTATAAGTATCTCAACCTTCCTAGAACACAGGATCTCCCACTATCAGCAGCATAGTGACTTGGTCTTCCCAAGGCCCCTGCGACAGGAGGCTAGCCAAAAGAAAGCCCAAGGCAAAATCATTAGCCAGTTTTTAAAAAATGCACCAAAAATGTTTTGTTATCATCCCTGTTCCTTGTTGTAAAAGCCCTGGGGGTCATGAAAGTGACATGAGGGGAGTGGTTGTTGGGATCCATCTATTTACTCGTTCTCAAAAGTCACAGTCTGCTAGAACCACCTCTGCCCAAGGCACAGAGTGGGTTGACTATTACCTGCTTTCAACAGTACAGTAGACAAGTCAAACTTGTTGGTGCACTAATCCCAGAACTTGGGAAGCTGAGGCAGGAGGATTGCTGTGAGTTTGAGACCAGTTTGGGCTTGGACCCACCTGAATTACCCGGCGAGACCCTATCTCAAAAAATAAAACTCAGTATAACAGACCATAGAAATCACTGTAGTAAGAGCCCCAACCTTTTAGGAGGCTCTTACTAGTACACTAAAGGGGAAAAAAAATTAACTCAAAATGAAAAATCAATCCCCAGAATAACAGGAGAACAAAGTGATTAAATTTATTCCATGTAGAAAGACATTTGTACCCTGTTTTAGTATATCCAAAGTCACAAGAGTAATTGAAAATTTATTTTTAAAAATTCTGTGCTTAAATTCACATACAGTAAAAATTAGTTTTAATTTTAAGGCTCCATTTTCCTGGTTTGCTCAGTGATCAACTATGTAATGACTAGAGATAAGACCGTGTTAAAGTATATCTCTTGTAAAGCAAATAATTATCCAGCCTCTCCAA